ATGAATTAAACAGCAATAATAAAGATATGTGTTAATTATTGAATCGATGCATTAACCCTTTACTTGCCCGGCAACCCCACACAACATCTAGTGGGTTTTTTGATCTAAGTTGATTTTTGCACGTTTGGCTGACGAGTCAGATTGTGGAATTATTTTCCGAACACTGTTTAACCTTTGCATAGCAACGTCGATTGAATTTTCGAATCTTCCAAGGCTTCGCTTTCGTAGAATTCTCGAATAGCCGAAAGCTTAGATTCTCGAAAGTTCTACAAGGCTGCTTAGCCTTCGCATAGCAACGTCTGAGTTTTGTTTGAAGCTAGTTTTAATTGCCGCGCTGATACTTAAGGAAGCGCGTATCAAGACTTCACATAGTTAACACAAAGCAGTCATTCAGTGCACAGTGCCAGTTATTCCTCCAAATCAGTCACTCGTCCTAGCCAGTCATCCACGCCTAGCCACGCCATTATACTCAGTATACAACAGAGCGAAAGTCACGCAACACACGCTCTCTCATTGCAGCCATTGCAAGGAACACACGCTCAATTCTCCAGTGCGCACGGTTAACAACCAGTCAAGGACTGACTGCCGTTCTAGAAAATAGTTGTACACACAAAGCATGGTTTGGACTCTTCTACATTCGAAGGTATACCATCAGTCTTTATTGAGAATAACTACCACAAAGACATTCCCATACTCCCCTTATGAGTGTGGCCGATTCTCCCTGCTAATTACCACAGAGACATTGTGATAGAACATAATTCACTCTCTCCCACGAGAAATGAATACAGAACAAATTAGTGTAATTGTCAATAAAACCAAATAAACTATATCCATAACGAAGTCATATACTGTACATATTTACAGCCCTTCCACGTGTGTCTTTCCTAAGCATCGCTAGGACGAGCGACAAATAAACTGAACTATTGTACTTGGTAGTTGAGCCGGAAAACTACATTTATTTGATCCTTGAAACCGAATCAAAATAAACAACCAGTTTTCGAACATTTAATAATATAAAAAATCCGTAGAAATTTATATCTTTATGTAGACACGTGTAAGGCATTAAATAATTCTTTCCACTTAAAGGATTTCAGTTACCATTAAAAATTATTAAAAACGTATTTATACACATACTATTCAATTTTGTTCTGATTCTATTTGAAGTATATTTAGCGTATTTTACTATATATGTATCATAATTTTCTTTGTTAAATATTTATCAAATAAAAAATATAAATAGTTAACGGTTTAAAATTTTTAGTACACTCTTGAAATTTGCCTTTTTATTAAATTTAATCGAATAATTTTATCAGTATTAAGGTTACATTTATTGGTTTATCTATTTATGTACTTAAATAATTTTGATAATAATAAATCAAGAGATTATATAAAAAATTCTTGTATTGCGAACTTTAGAACCTTTAAAAAAATTGTTCAATTTGGATAGTGTGGATCACGTTCTGAAAACCTTTTATTTCCTTTAATAATTATGATTCTAAGTTCTTTTCAAATCTAAGACTGAACTGTTAAAGAATAATTTGCATTTACTATATAAATATCTATGTATCACTTTTATTTTCATTTATAATCGCTCTCTTCAACATTCTTATTGTTTGCTAATTAAACCGCCCCCATCTTAATTATACCGAAAGACCGTTGGCTCTTGGAATTGTTAATCCCTTTAGCTCTAGAATTTCTGTAAACATTTGGGTTTGAGAATTCTCGAATATTATAATGTTTTAGTTTTGTTTATTAATAGAGTCGCCACGGAGTGAACACGCCTTCCGCTTCGCCTACAAGGAGCAGGTGCTGAAGAAGCATCGCAACAATCTCCACTCCTACAGATTAAGGGAATCTCACGCATCTTGATCGAGCACACTCTCTGTCTCTAGCCTCGACAAATAATCCCAAAAAACATAAGGCATTCACAAGTAATCACGAACACGATTACCACACACACTATTTCCGTACCATACGCAACCCTGTTTTTCGGTGCACCCAGACTTTTACACTCACAAGACACCACCAAGTACCAATACAATAAGATATAGAGAGATTTACGACCTCTCACTTCTCTGTCTAGTAACCCACCACTAATTGCACTACGTCAAGAGGATCCGGAGATTTACGGCCTTCTACCTCGACATATAGTGCATGCTACCACCAAGTGGAATCACCAGAGAACTGCAGAAATGATAATTCTCATTATGAACTAAAAATCATTGTAGTATAATTGTAAAATAAACGCAACATACAACACAAAAAACAGACCTGTTAATTACTGAAAAGAAGCACTACTCCTTCCACTTAACCTCACTTTCTCTCACCAGTAAACTGGTGGTCATAGTCTAATGGATAACTGGAATTTTAAATACTATTCTAGTATATCGTATGAACATTTACAAAATTTTTCAGCTATTGTAAATCTTTGTATTTTTATAAAACAAACGTTTTTTCTAATTTTTATATTGATAATTTATTTTGGAGAAACTTAAATAATTTTAATATAATTTATTGCTTTTATTTCATAATTTTTGTTTGATTTTATTATGTATTTAAATAAACAACATTTTAATTAATAGAATAATAAATGAATTAATTAAAAAATTTATTTAAAAAATTACATGAAATTTATTTCATAAAGAGCAATAATACAATTAATAGCTATAACTGAAAAAATTATTTTGAATGCAATGAATTTGACTTTTTCTTAAATGTTACTAAAAATAAGGCTTAACTCGATTTAATAATTTTAAGCAATACATAATATAAATATGAACATAAAAATAGAATATCAGTCAGTATTGACAATATGGGCATTTATACTAATTTATGTTTTGTTAGAAAGTAAAATATTACAAATTTTTTTTAGATAAATACCTATTTTCTATAGAAATTTAAATATTTAAATATTCCATTGTATTCTATTTAATATTTAATATTTTATCTCTAATATTTTGAAGAATTATGTAAGAAAAAGAAATTATATACATTATATATTGTTTAATAGATTTATTAAATATTAATGATTATATCCTCCAGCATTTATATTGTTTAAAAAAGATGCAGAAATAACGTAAACTTAAGGTTACTTTCTAATATAGTTCTAATTTTGAGAAGGTATTATAGTTTAGTTATGAAAAAAAATTTTATTTTTGAAAAGTTTGATTTAAAATTATTTTAAACAGTGAATTTTTTATAAAAAAATTTTATCATCATTGACCTTCAA